GGTATAAATAATTGTGCATATTAACTACCTAATTTACATAATTAGTTATTTTTTTGCTGTTGCACTGATGTCTAAAGAACCACTCATCATGTTTCAATGAACCTAGGACTAAACACCATATTAGTTTTGGTAAATATTTATGCTTCTTAATCACCTGATTAACATAATTAATTTTTTTAAATTTTTTTTTTTTTATTGATATGCTTAACAAAACAAAGATACAATACACAAATACATGTTACTACACAAATACAAACAGTATGCTTCAAAATAATCAATGAATTCTCCCCATTTGTTATTGTGACTTCCCTGTCTGTTTTCTATAATTGCGACTTTCTTCTCTGTATGGTAAATTAATTTGATATATGATCTAAAACCACCAATGTCTGGTTTTGTCCCAACAATTTTACATTTAAATATATCATAGCGTGTCAATAATAACATAGTATTATGTAATGGTCTAGCATTGTATACATCCCCCAAAATACATGTGACTGCACTTAACGTCAAGGTATCACCTGTAATGAAAGAAAACCATTCATTGACTGATGTCCAAAATACAAATACATATCTGCAGTCCCAAAATAAATGAAAGTAGTCTTCCTCAACTTCTCCAGAAAAAGAACACAGGGGGGAATCAATTAAGCCCCACAAGCACAACAACCTGTTTGAAGGCGTAATTTGGCATTGGTAGTAATAGAAAATGGAGCAAGATAAATATTTTTCCAAGGTAAAGGGGTGTTCAAAATGTCCAGCCAATATTGCTGTATGGCAATACCAAAGATAAATATTTTTATTAACCTTAGTTCTGACAGCCAGATATTGTTATGCATGTTTGGCATACAGACCATTAGTTTTGACATGTTAGATTCAACAATATTGCGCTTCCAAATAGATGGAATTGCTGCTAATAACTGTCGATATTCAAATTGAGTACATATATTCCCGTAGTTTGATACCAAATCTTGAAATGTGTAAAATGTACAGTTTGCATTCAAAAGATCATTAATAAATATTATACCGTGTTGTATAAAACGTTTCCAGGCAACAGTCGTGTTGTCAATAAGAATATTAGAATTATTCCATATTAGTTCTTGAAGTACATTTTCTATGTTACTTACACTTGTATAATTATACTGCAACCATGCTGAAATTATATCTTTTAAAAAACTTGATCGAAAAGGGTTGACCTTAA